CTAAACATCAGCCTTCATCACTCCTCTTACTCTGTTCTCTTTTGAGGTGGTAATTTTTATTTTTGAGGCCTCAACCATGGCCATAACACTATCATGTCCCACATGGTTTCTGAGTGTTTCCCAGCAAGACTGAGCCCAGTTGTCTGCAGAAGTAATCCATTATTATTGTTGCTTTCTTCCTTCTTCTGTCATTTCCCCCATCTCCACACTTGTGCATACTTGGAATTGCCACCAAGAAAACCACCTGCACCTGCATCTTGTATCTGCCTGTGGAGAACCCAAACTAATACTGCTTATATCCTAAATATTTATAAAATAGGATCTTTCTTCCTCTCTACTTCCTCAATTCAGATCCTGGTCTGGATTACTTTAGTAATTCTTACCTAGTCCTTTTGATTCTACTTTTGCTCCCTTCTAATTTATTCATTATACTGCAAGCAAAAGAGTTTTTGTGAATCAAAGACGTGATCATGTCACACCCATTTTTGAAAGTTTCCTTGTTTCCCAACTTCTTACTTCATGTACTAAATCCAAAGTTCTTAAAGTGGAATCTAAGAACATTCACGATCCAAACCCTTTTTACCTCTCCAAACTCAACTTTCCACCCCAGCTATACTGAGCTATTTGCAGTTTTCAAAGGAGTACTTGTTCTTGCTTCTAAGTCTTTGCTGAGCTTGGCCTGAGTTCAGGCCTATTTAGAATTGTAATAGTACATGCATGGTTTTGCTTTCCCCCTCTAAATTTTAAGCAATCTTTTAAAAAGTGCGCTTTATGTTTTTAAATATCCATTTAATATCTCTAGGAGCTAACATATGGAATGTTCTTAATAAACATTAATCTCTCTAGCTTCAAGTTAGGTACTCCCAATATTGGTAAGGATAATTCTTTTCTGTAAGTTATGTTAAATACGTAAACTATTTTTAGTCACATTACAAACTTCTTTAAAAATATTGAGAAAAAGGTATAATCATAATCACCTTAATATGATTAATGTTTTGATGTGTTCCCTTTCAATATAGGTGCATGTTAGTTATTTAATCATCTGAAATAAAGATGTACTACTACTAATAATAATAATAATAAAAGAGAGTGGATGTTGTGACACAGCAGGTTTAGCTGCTTGGGATGCCCACATCTCATATTAGAGAGCTTGGATTTGAGTCCTGCTATTGCTTCCCAACCACCTTCCTGATAATATGCATCCAGTAGGAGAGCAGGTGATGGCTCAGTTACTTGAGTCCCTACCACCCATGTGGGAGACCCAGAGCAGTTCCTGGCTCCTGGCTTCAGCCTGGCCCAACCTTATCTGTGGTGGGCATCTGGGAAGTAAACCAATGGATGGAAGATTTCTCTCTCTCTCTCTCTCTCTCACTGTCTCGCTCTCTCGATCTCTTACTCTCTCACTCTCCCCCCCCTTTCTCTCTTTGTTGTTCTTCTTTTCAAATAAAAATAATTATACACTTAATAATAAAGGCTTAACATTTGGGTAGCATATACTGTGAGTCAAATACTTTTCTAAGAATTACACATTTAATTTCCATGATGATTTTTTGTCATATAGGTACTCTTAACTATCTCCAGTTCATCAATGAAGATACAAGATATAGATGTAGCCTAACCATATAGTTAAGTAAATATTGAAGCCATGATTTGAACTCACAAAATCTGATACCAAAAGTCATGCTGTATTCATGGCGAGTATTAAATAACTTAGTTTATGGAAAGCCCTTAGAACAGGATCAGTAACAAGGTACAAATTCAATAAATGCTAGCTATTTTTATCATTGCCATTGTGATAAGTGTACTAATTTGTATCATTCACTTTAACTTATTTCGTGGGTTTTCTTTTATGTGTTTCAAATATTTGTTATTTGAAAGAGAGACAGAGACAGAGACAGAGAGAGAGAAAGAGAGATCTTTCATCCACTGGTTCATTTCAAGTGGCCCTAATGACTGGAGCTAGACCAGGCTGAAGGCAGGAGCCTGGAGCTCCATCCAGGGTCTTCGACGTGGGTGGCAGGGCCAAAGTGCTTGGGGCATCTGCTTTCACAGGTGCCTTAGCAGGGTGCTGTATCAGAAATGAAACAGCCAGGACTTGAACTGACACTCATATGGGATACTGGCATTGCAGGCAGTGGCTTGCACCACTGTGTTGCAACGCTAGTCCCACAGGTTTTTATTAAATTGGACAGGTTTTCACTTTAAATTAGATTGTTAACTAATTTTTTATCCTATCATACAATCTTATTAACTAATGTTTTCATGACAACACAGTATTCTAAAGTATGAACCTGCAATAATTAATTAGTTCTTGAATTTGACTATATGTTTAAAAATATTTTATTATTGTAAATAACATTATAAGCATTATCTTTCTGCATTAAATTTTTCCCTTACTTTAGGTCACTTTTTAGGATACATTCTCAGAAGTAAGAATTATGTGTAAGGGGTTTGAATATTTTTATGGTTCTTAATGCATACCAGAAATTGCTTTGCAAAGGCACTATACTATAACTATATTTTAGGGAGTTTGTTCAATAATTCAGTATCTGCAATTGTTACAAAGCTGATTTCCATTAATACTAGTTTCCTAAAGAAACATCACAAAGTAAATCTCATTCCTTTTCAATATGACAGACTTTCAAACACTTATGTTAAAAGAAAAAATGTATGTTTCCCCTGCCTCCTACCTCTGTAAAACTTCTCAACTCTGTTTTGGACATTCTTTCTCCATGCTAAACATCCCCAGTAGCATCTCTTGCCTGACAAAGTCACCAGGCTCCTAAGTATCTGAGTCATAGTCTCCTAAATACATTCCATTGTGCCTATGTCCCTCTTAATTTGCAGCTTCCAGACATGGCCTGACCAGTGCAGAGCACAGAGAGGCTATCACTTTCCTTGACCAGGGCATCTATTTCCAGCAAAGCAGACTAAGGTCACATTAGCATTTTTGGCAGAAAAATACACTATTGGCTCATGGGTATGTGCTGTCAACTAAATCCTCCGTGGCTTTTTCACATGAACTCCCAATAAGTGAATTTTCCTACATCCTGTGCTAATATAGACAATATTATGCAGTTAAGTGAAGTTATTCACATAGGTTCTCCTTAAACTTTAGTTTAATGTTTATAATTCTAGGATGTTATGATACATCTGCATCCCCAAATATGTATGTTGTAATCATTGATTATTTTTATGCTTTCTCTATCTTCAAGTTGTTAATATAGTCTAAGACAATCCTAAGTGCAGAGTGTTATGGTACATAATTAGTTCTTTGGTTGATAGTAAGCAGAGTCTTTGGATATAGCTGTTTGGCCAGCAACAAATTAGTAGCTGTGGATTCATCCAGGAACCTTAGCATTAAACCACACTTATCTATTCTATTCCTGAAGGCATCATGGGAGGTTGTTAAATGACTTACTGAAACTAAAATTAACATTGAGCATATTATTTATTAATTACTGCTAGAGTGATTTTATAATTCTGTCTAAAAGAAAATAAGTGATTTTAACCTGGCTCTCATAGCTATCCTTATTTTCCGAGAATCTATAAAATATCATAAACTAATATTAAAATCTTGTAAAATGGTCTAATGTTTGTATTTTATGACAGTTATGAAATTATCATATTCTCCTGGGAGAAAGTCATTTCTACTTCCATATGTGCTTTGTACACTTACACAGTAGCACACTTAGGAAATAATTATTTACTATTTTAGCAAGCAAATAAAAATATGATTAAGACATTTAAAAATAATGCAAAATCTCTCTTTTATCCCTCTCATATATGAGATATGTCACAATATTCTTGGATATCAAATTAATATATAAATTTATTCTAATGCAAAAATTTGAAATCCATGCAGTCTGTCGTGATGTACATTTGCCATGAACTTTTTGAAGTGTGTGAGGGGGTGGCCTTCTTTGTGTATGGAGGGTATTTTTTTTTTTTTTTTTTGACAGGCAGGGTGGACAGTGAGAGAGAGAGACAGAAAGGTCTTCCTTTGCCGTTGGTTCACCCTCCAATGGCTGCCGCGGCCGGCGCACTGCCCTGATATGAAGCCAGGAGCCAGGTGTTTCTCTTGGTCTCCCATGGGGTGCAGGGCCCAAGGACGTGGGCCATCCTCCACTGCACTCCCTGGCCACAGCAGAGAGCTGGCCTGGAAGAGGGGCAACCAGGACAGAATCTGGTGCCCCGACCGGGACTAGAACCTTGTGTGCCGGCACCGCAAGGCGGAGGCTTAGCCTATTGAGCCGCGGCGCTGGCCAGAGGGTATTTTTTTAAAAGAATTATTTATTTATTTATTTATTTAAAAGGCAGAGTTACAGAGAAACAGAGAGAGGGAGAGAGGTCTTCCATCAACTAGCTCACTCCCCAGTTGGCCGCAATGGCTGGAGTTGCGCCGATGTGAAGCCAAGAACCAGGAACTTCTCCCGTGCAGGTGCAGAGACCCAAGGACTTGGGCCATCTTCTGTTTTCCCAGGCCATAGCAGAGAGCTGGATTGGAAGTGGAGCAGCTAGGACTCAAACCGGCGCCCTTAAGGGATGCTGGCCCTGCAGGCAGTGGCTTTACCTGCTATGCCACAGCACCAGCCCCAGGGTGGGGTATTTTTAAAAGTTCATGAAAAGTAGAAATAAAAAACAATGCAAATTTTATGTTAACACTTTGAAGTGTGTATGTGTGGGAGTGTGTGGCTATCTTTGAATAAGGGGGTATTTTTTAAAGTTCATAAAAATGCAGATAAAAGATAATGCAAATATTCTGTGAACTTTTTGAAGACTCCATGTAGATTTTTTTCCCGTCAAATCAATCTATAATTTGGGAAAAAGAAAATCTGGATTTTAGAGAATGCACTCTGCTTATTCCATACTAACAGGTGATGATGATCTTGTTATGTAAATGGGGACTACTGTCATGTGCCTTAGAATTATTTACAAAGTAACTAAAATCAATCTTTTTCCTTGCCCGAAAAATGTTAATTGGTTTATTTAAATTCCAGGGTACTTATTGGTTCTCCTTTGGTTGGACAACCCAAAAACAGGACAGGAGATGTCTACAAGTGTCCTGTTGGGAGACAGGAATCATTACCTTGCATGAAGTTGGATCTTCCAGGTATGTAAAATCAAAAGGCTGAAGTCTGAGCCTAAAAAATGCCCAGTGTTCCCACAGGCAGCAAATTTCAAACAACTAAAGATAATATTAGAAATAATTATTATTTAGTTATCATCCAAATTCATATAAGGTGACAGTTTGATGATATGTACCCATAATTTTATTTATAAAGTCATCATGGATCATCCATGGATTTAGAATGTACAATTAGTTTTATGACTTCTTACTTTCTTCTTTGTTCTGGGTACTTTGTAAATTAGTGATAACATGAAAATGTTTTTCCAAATCTGCCCATGATATTTCCTCCACATTTTTAAAAATTTTATCTAAAGTATATAAACTTCATGCATTTCATATATACAAATTTAGGAACATAATGATTCTTCCCAACCTACCCTCCCTGCCATCTGCACCCAATTTAATTTAGTGTTAAGTAGAGGTTTTTGTTTTTTTTTTTTAAGATTTATTTATTTATTTGAAAGGCAGAGTTAGAGAGAGAGAGAGGGAGAAACACAAAGAGAGGTGAAAGAAGTGAGAGAGAGAGAGACAGATCTTTCATCCACTGGTTCACTCCCCAAATGTCTGCAATGACTGGGGCTGTACCAGGTCAAAGCCAGAAGCCAGGAAATCCATCTGCTCCAACATGAGTGGCAGGGGCCCGAGTCTCTGGGCCATCTTCTGCTTTCCCAGGTGTGGGGAGCAACCCGGACTAGACTAAGTTACTCGAATTAAGACTTATTCTATGCATCTGCTCTCCCACAATATGGCGCTGGGAGAGGAGAAAACAGCTTCTACCCAGCTGCCTCCAGTTCAACCAACAAACAGCAGGACCTGCTCCTGATTGGAGGAGAGCAGCGTACTCGGCGTGTGGGCAGCCGAGTTGGGATTGGCGGAAGAGGACTGTAAAGGAGGAGAGAGACGGCATGCACCAGGAACATCTAAGGGGAACATCTAAGGGGAACACCTGTGCAGCCCCCGAGAGAGCTGGCTGGCGGTGTGCCGCTTCCCCGCGGAAGTGGGGAATGTGGCAGGGGGAACCGCCCTTCTACGGAGGTGGAAGGGTCAGTAGCCAACCCGGGAAGAACCAGCAGCAAACCCGGGGAGGGCCGAGCAGACGAAAGAACAGCGCAGGGTCCTGTGTCGTTCCTCCACGAAGAGGGGGAGCAACATAATGGTGCCGTGACTCGGATAGGAAGCCTAGGCAGGATCCTGTGTCGTTCCTCCACGAAGACGGGGAGCGACACCAGGCACATTAGTAGGGAGCTGTATCAGTGGAGCTGCTGAAACTTAAACCAGTGCTCATATGGGATGTTGTTGTCTCAGATGGCAGCTTAACTACAATATCAGTCCCTAGTTCTTAGTGTTTAAAAAGAAAGCTAACTGCCGGCGCTGTGGCTCAATAGGCTAATCCTCTGCCTTGCGGCGCTGGCACACCGGGTTCTAGTCCCGGTCAGGGTGCTGGATTCTGTCCCGGTTGCCCCTCTTCCAGGCCAGCTCTCTGCTATGGCCAGGGAGTGCAGTGGAGGATGGCCCAAGTCCTTGGGCCCTGCACCCCATGGGAGACCAGGAGAAGCACCTGGCTCCTGGCTTCGGATCAGCATGATGAGCCGGCTGCAGCGCGCCGGCCGTGGCAGCCATTGGAGGGTGAACCAATGGAAAAGGAAGACCTTCCTCTCTGTCTCTCTCTCTCTCACTGTCCACTCTGCCTGTCAAAAAAAAAAAAAAAAAAAAAAAAACACAAGAAGAATTGTTCTAAAACAAGAATTTGAATTATTCTTGTTAAATATTTAAATATTTAAAAGGAAACAGCACAAATAAATTTATATTGAAATAGATATACTTGTATTTGATAAGTATTACTGTAGTTGGAACATGACTAGAAAAATCCTGCCAGAACTCCAGGAATTAGAACCCTGTCAGTGTCCTAAGTAATAATACATACCATGGAAATGATTTACAGCCCACAAATCTCCATTTTGTATTTTCCAGTTCTTTCTTTTTTTTTTTTTTTTTTTTTTTTTTTTTTTTGACAGGCAGAGTTAGACAGTGAGAGAGAGAGACAGAGAGAAAGGTCTTCCTTCCGTTGGTTCACCCCCCAAATGGCCACTATGGCCGGTGCGCTACGTCTGGCGTGCCACAAGGATCCAAAGCCAGGAGCCAGGTGCTTCTCCTGGTCTCCCATGCGGGTGCAGGGCCCAAGAACTTGGACCATCCTCCACTGCCCTCCCGGGCCACTGCAGAGAGCTGGACTGGAAGAGGAGCAACCGGGACAGAACCAGCGCCCCAACCAGGACTAGAACACGGAGTACCAGCACTGCAGGTGGAGGATTAGCCTAGTGAGCCGCGGCGCCGGCCTCCAGTTCTTCTTTTTAATAATTTCTTAGTTTTTCATTATGGACATTTTCTTCCTTGACATTCAAGAATGCATTTATGATAGCTACTTTAATACCCTTGCTTGATAATTCCAACATCCAGAATATGTCATCGCCACTTTCCATTGATTATTCTTCCTCAGGTTTGATCACATTTTCTTATTTCATTTTTATGGTGTAATTTTGGATCATAACATGTATCATATTTTGAATTCTAAGTGTGGAGATTCTACATCTTGTTATGTGCCTTTGAATAGTCTTTTTGAATGAGCCAGTAATTTATTCGACTGAACTCAATTTCCAGACTCCGACTTTCTTGCAGTGGAAAGCAGTTAAAATCTTTATTTGGTTGTTCCTATTTCAGCTGGGCTGTTTAAATCTACTGTGCGCATTTAATGTAGAGTTTGCCCAGATGTTTGGACAGAATGTGTACATGTATATGAGAACTGCCTTTCTGTAACTCTTTTCCTCAAAATGCCTTCTCTCACTTCGCAGATGCTGTCATTACCCCCAATTTCTGTCCTCTTTTCCTTCAAGACAGTAAGCCTAGGACTTTTGTTTGAAACTTAACACTGAACTAGAGCTTTAACTACAGGGTATAAAACAAAACAAGTGAAGCAAAAAATCAGGAAATTCACCCAATGCCAATCCGTCTTTGAGGTGTACATTCTCCTGCAAACTCTTCATTCTCTGGATTGCTTTCCAGTGTCTTCAAATGGTTGTTTCATGCAATTTTCATTCCTTTTCTTAAAATTTATAGTTATTATTTTCAAAAAATTTATCATAAGAGGAGCTACTTTATTCAATTTATTAGGAATAGATGTTTATTTAAAATCAGAAAAATAAACATGTAGTCATAAAAAGATGTTATAATATCTGAGTGCATTTGAAAAAAGAGAATGATACTAAAATGTTATTCTATACTACCTCAACTAAAACATCCTAACAGTAAATGTATGACAAGAATAGTAAAGAATAACAGTATAATTTTCACTGTAGATATGGTCTTCTTAAATCTAAAAATAATAAAGTGAAGAAGACTTTATATGGTTTATTATACTGTAAATTTAAACTCTAAACTTAAGTGAAATTAAGGTATTACAAACAATTAAAATTAGAACACCCAAAGTGTTACCACAAATTATCAATAAAAATAGCAAATATGAATGAGAGGCAAAAGATATATAACATCATATACAAAAAGAAACCTCAGAGCCAATGCTGTGGTGTAGAGGGTTAAGCTGCCACCTGCAGTGCCAGCTTCCCGTATGGGTGCTGATCTGAGACCCGGCTGCTCTACTTCCAATCCAGCTCTCTGCTATGGCCCTGTCCTTGGGCCCCTGCACCCACATGGGAGACCCAGAAGAAGCTCCTGGCTCCTGGCTTTGGATCTGCACATCTCCAGCCACTGCGGCCAATTGAGTGAACCAGCAGATGGAAGACTCTCTCTCTCTGTCTCTCTTTCTCTCTGTGTGTAACCCTGACTTTCAAGTAAATAAATAAATCTTTAAAAAAAAGGAAACCTCAAAGCCCCAAGAAAAATAAAAATTGCTTTATATCTCTAATTGTCGTGGAAACCAAATTGAAACAGCAATAATATACCATTTCCACCCATCAAATTTATGAAAACTCTAAGAAACATGAAATGCAAAATGCTGATGAGACCTTGGGAAAAAGTGGTAATCACACTTCAGGAGTAGGGAACCAGGAAGGCAAGTTTTTGCTAATTATGACTAAAACTTTATGTAAGTATATATCCCAGAAAATTTCGTTATTGAATAATAGGAATAAAAAAGGATATGTATTTTGTCATTGTTTTAAATGATGAAAAACTGGATTCCAATTAAATATTTTCCAATGACACAACAGCAAAATAGACCTTCATTCAGTCAGCTATGACATACTATCAGGTGTGTATATGTTTACATTATTTAAGGCATACAAATTTCATGTATTTCTAAGAACCCACTATGCCACCACACTGGCCTCTTGCCCATTTCTTAACTGAATTATTGGGCTTTTTGTTGTTGTTTTTAAATTTCTTGAGTACTTTATAGATTTTGGATATTAATCCTTTATAAGTTTCATAGTTTGCAAATATTTTTTCCCATTCTGTCGGTTGCCTGTTCACTTGGCTGAGTGTTTCTTTGCAGTATAGAAGCTTCTCAGCTTGATGTAATCCTATTTGTCAATTTTGGCTTTGACTACGTGTGCTTCTGGTGTGTTTCCTGAGAAGCTTTTGCCTAAGCCAATGTCTTGCAAGGTTTCCACAGTATTCTCTAGTAATTTGATGGTATCAGGTCATAGATTTAGGTCCTTGATCCATTTTGAGGGGATTTTTGTGTAGGGTGTAAGGTAGGGGTCTTGTTTCATACTTCGGCATACAGAATTCCAGTTTCCCCAGGACTGTTTGTTGAAGAGACTGTCCTTGCTTCAGAGATTGATTTTAGCTCCTTAGTCAAACACTAGTTGGTTGTAGATGCATGGATTGATTTATGGAGTTTCTATTATGTTCCCTTGGTCTGCATGTCTGTCTTTGTGCCAGTACCATATTGTTTTGATTATAACTGCCTTGTAGTATGTCTTGAATTCTAGTATTGTGATGGCTCTGGCTTTGTTTTTGTTGTA